GAAAGAGTAAAATGGTGTATGAACAGGACAATTTCTGGAAAAAAAAAATAAAAATAGGCTACTAGATTTGAAACAGCCAACATATCTGAGATTACAGAAATAATTAAAATAGGAAGTAGACATATTCCTACGAATTTAATACTACTGTATTGTGTACCCTGTTAACTACCCTCTTCGAAACTCGTAACATACCAAAAAATCTTGAAATATAGAAAATCCACAATCATGCTTTGATTTCTGACAGTGATCAGTATCTTACGGAAAATGTATGAAAAGTAGAGTTTTGATTGTGAATTTGCACACACACTTTAACATCTTATTTTCATGAACTATTATTAAAAAATGCCCACGTTTATTGTAGTACTAAAAATTTAAAAAGGTAAGTAATTCATTTCCACTCAAAAAAATGCTGGGCTGGGGGACATTTTACATAAGAAAAATGTTTCAAATTTATACTATTGCCACTGTGAATTTTAAAATGCTTTTTTCTTTTGAACTTTCAATAGTTTCTTCTTCCAGAAAAGTAATTTGTCAGAGTGCTTACTCAGACAGTAATTTTATTTCTCATAAAAAATAAATAAAAAAGCACTTTAAGTCTATACGAAATTAAGTTATCTATCCATAAGTGGGATTATTTCAATGTCAGTAATTATATCCTATGCTTCCACTAAAATAAGAAACCCATCTCCTTAAGGAACTCTCTGTAAACCTGCACTTTCTACACAAAACCAGGTAACTGTATTTGGTCATCTTGCTCATGTCCACATTGCTCATGCCTGTCATTCCTTCCCATTAGACTCAATAACCTCTATTTTGTCTTATCATAGTCAGGTTTCTGAGGTAGCTGTCCATTCTTTCAATATTGTCACTAAAAAAACCAAACGCATTTCATCACCATACTCTCAGTCTTTGGAATCATTAAAAAAATGGAAGTATGAAGTTGCTACATAAAACATAAGCCTTTTGTTTCTGTAGGAGTGTTGATCTCATTTCTCTGTATGTCTGTATTCTTAATCTGGAAAGATTCTGCAAATACAGTCTTTGATTAAATAAGCAGTGAAAACAACTTTTAAGATGTTTATACTAGCAATTTATATGCCTTCTTGACATTTATCATTAAAATATTTAAGCTGAACAGTAATACAGTTTTTGAGCAGGTTCACCTACTGCACAAACACAACCGAATACTAGTTTAGGAAAGAGATGAAATTCAAGAGTGATACGATCAAATTCAAATATAAAAATAAAGTATTAATGTATAGGTGAAAAACGAATAAAAAACCTAAATTTAAAATATGGTGCTCATAAATTACACTACACTCATTCTTAAAACTTGAGCTCCATGACTTCTTCTTAAAAGTATATGTTTGATTTCCCAAAACAAACATAGCAAAAATATGTGAAGCCAAACCAAGAGACCAGTTAGCACAGTCGAACTTGAATGTATCCCCAAAAGGGACTTAAAGAGACAAGTGTTTTCCCTGCAACCAAACATTTAAGTTTCTAATGACTTTCTCATGAATCCCATTAAATGTATTAGAGAAAACGCAGCACTAGCTTTTAAGTCCATCCAGCCCACCTAGTCTAGAGTTACTACTTTGTAAGTATCTAGTATGTTAAAAGAACATGAACATATGCTTTTTTAAGAAAACTAACAGCACACTGAAACAAAAATTCTAACTACATTAATTTGCTAAGTTTTTAATTTTCTAGTATTCCCCTCTTCATTTGAAGACCAATAAAGTCCATAAAGTTCAGGTTTATGGAGTAAACTATGTATCACAACAAGAAAATACACAATGCAATTTTTTTTTTTTTATTTTAAGGAATCCTATACATTGTAACAAGGATTTTTCATAAGCAGCAGCAATTTGAACATTCTGACAGGATCAGGTAATAATCAGAAAAAGGAGATAAAGCATAAATGTAGCAGAATTTGTTTTACTGCTTCATCAGTTGAACTGTATAAAGCAGTCTGCTGTTGTGTTCATATTTATAATCTCATTGGACATGACATATAATAAAATCCAGAAAGAAAAAAATAAACGTAGGTATTGCTACTGATTTAGTAAACCTGCAGCTTGACTTTATAATTTAAAGGACATCTGGAAAAAAAGTCAAACCCATTTATTATTATTATGTCTTGAAATAGTTCAGTGAAACTTGAAAAACTTCCATAATTCTCAGGAAGCCAAATTTTGCATCTTGCAAGCAAGAAAAATTCCACAACTCCAAAAAGAGAACGAAGCCAAATAAGTTCTTATTTGCCTAGCTTTAGTTCAGACCTACGAAGTTTTCCTTTGATTAACATTTTGCACTTTTAAAAACAAGCTGTGTAATACACAAGATTTTATGCAACTCTGCTTACTCGGAAAGACAGTAAATAATAAACTGAAAATAATTTAAGTAAACCATAATACTAGCAAAATCAAGTAAGAAAGAATTTAGTCAGTATTCACTGTAATACTTAAACAGTCACCAAAACAACAAGCATGACTTACAGTGGTAATATTTTTAAAGATCAGCAATAAATAACCAGTATGTGCTCAGCAGTACTTAGAAAGAGATATCTCAGATAAATAGGAACAATGGCATCATGTAGTACCTTCCATGGCTCTTTTAAAGAAGACTTTACAACTCCCACAAGTGAGTACTCCATAGTGGCAACCAGAAGCCTCATCACCGCAGATGAGACAAATCTTCTGAGTTAGCGATTCAAAGCCGTATTGAGAACTTTGGCTGGTTTCTGTATCTGGCCTTTAAAAGAAAAGATTTAAGAGAAATGAAATACATAGTCTTGCAACAGTCAACTACTTACCTTTATTGATCAGTTCTGTATTAAAATTCCCCCTTTAATTTGTGATCAAGCTACAGAAGGACAAAGAAAAAAAACTATGACTGCCTTTCTGCTGAAGAGTTTGTCTCTACCAGAGTGAAAGGGACATTTTGAACATCTGGCTAGTCATTAAACAGGAAAGTGATGGGCAAAAAGGATAGCTATATTTTAATTTCTTTTAGCTAAAAAAGGTACAATTTATAAACTCTTTGTTAAAACGTTCACCTTCCTCAGATCAACAGCTCTTGTGAATGAAGTCAAACTGGCACTTTTTTCCTGTACACAGAAAAGTGCAGAGACAGAATCAGAAATCAAATGAACTCCAAAAGCCTCTTTCACATTGGGCATAACTAAGTTTCACCTCAGTTAGAAAAATCTTTAATAATCAATTTGTCACCTCCCATTCAGCTGCAGCATTCTCATCAGTAACTAACTCTAATGAGCATATCGACCGTATTTCCTAATTTCTCTCCAAGAAACAAAACAGATTAACCTACTTAGCCATTTATTTACAAAAATAAAGTATTTTAAGTCTAAACTGTAGCATTACATATACATATTTTTGCATATGTTTCCAGGTAATGGACGTCATCTTGGCATGATAGTGAGCCATTTCGTTCTAACAAATAAATGTACAAGTCTTTAAATTTTCTTTTTTCTGGGTGAAATTAACCGGTTTTTTTTCCCAAGCCGGGAGAAGTATTTTGGAGATACTTCGATATTTATGAACACTGTCTCGCTGTCAGTAAGGAGCGTCTGAAGAACGCTCTGCTCCCTCTCCCTGGAGCTGGTCGCTTGCTCAAGACGCCGGATGGCACTGAAACATCACGGCGACAGAAACGCAGCTTCTCCTGGACCGTTACGGTGCTAAAAAGACCTGGGAGGTGCTGGCTGCAAAGTTAACACTGTGCTGGTTTCACACACACCAGGCGTGCACAGACTATACAGAAAACGAAAACGCGGCTGCAGTTACCGCCTAAAAACCCGAATGGCTCTCCTCCGAGCACCCTCCAAGCGCAGCCCGGGATGCCAGTCCCTCTCCCCGCGATCCCTCGGGATGACAGCCCCTCTCCCCGAGGCACAGCTCCCCAGGGTGCCGGCCCCTATCACCTTGGTACGATCACACTGGGTGCCGGTCTCTCTCCCCGCGGCACGGACACCCTCCCTTGGTGA